ATGCCAAATTATTCCTTAAGCATGCCCCCAAATGTTCAAATCCTAAGAGATCTTAGATAAATTACCCCACACGCAAAATTGTTGAATAACAGAAAGTCCAATTCTCAAAACTTACAAATAATTTTAAATGTTAAAATGATTTCTTTAATATGTGCTCTTAGGGACAATTGTTACATTTTTATATTAATTATTATTAAAAAAAATAAAAGTTACCATTAACTTTATCATTAGTACAACATAAATAATTTTAATTAGATAGTTACTTAAATAAAAATTAGTTTTTATTTTTTTTAATAATAATTAATAAAAAAATGTAATAATCATATCATTAACCTATACTCTTTGACACAAATTAAAAAATTTCATGTTAAAATTTTGTCTCACCTTTATAACTCTAAAAAATAAAAATCCAAAAAACAAAACGAAAGAAGGAGGAGAAGTGGGGAAGATGAAGTGAATGGACAGTTGAGGGGAGAGGAGGTGGAGGGTATAGAGAGAAATCAGGAAGTCTGTCTTGGAAAAAAACAAACTCAGGGAGTGGAGAAATGGGCAGAGGGAATTTTCTTTAAGAAGGGGTTGAAATTAAAGAAATAAACTAGCCAGCTCATAGATCTGACTCTTTCCTGCAATGATTTGTCTTGGTCCACACATGCACATGTCCTATTCTTATACTTTGTATTATAAATTTATGTGCCTGGTTTTCTATACACTTACTCAAAATTCCCAATTAAATAAAAGATTGAGAGGGATGCAATTGCAAAGTGCAAAACCAATGCTTTTTTGGGTATGTCAATATGGTCCCCTCCCTTCGATTATGCAAACTTGCTTCCTTGGCTCTCCACCACCACATACAACTTTACTTTTAACTGAAGTTATTTTTTTTTATGATTGCCTCTCAATTATCTTAATCGATGTACATTCCTAGATCTAATTATTTTAAATATGAGTCAATCTCTTTAATCAAATAGTTTATATTTATAATGAAAAATGCAATTGGGTTATAATTTATTTATGCAATTGAGTATATGGACGATAATGAATAAAAATTCAAAACACAGGGATGTACACTGGCTATTAACTCTTCTAAATTGAATATTATATCACTTCCACACAAAATGTTAATTGATTGAATATTATATCACTCTTACACAAATATTACTTGATTTTTTTTAACAATACTTGGAAACACAAATGTTAAGTGATTGAGAGT